GTCTTTTAAGTAGCGTCGGAAGTACTCAAACGTCTTCAGAACCTATGCGGACATTTTTGGCAATGTTCAGAAGTCTTCTGAAAGTTGTTGGAAATCTTTGGAAGTCACCAGGACTTTTCTGGATATACCAGTCATGACCATATGTACTTGCAGTATTGCAAAAGCTTTAAGATAAAGTTACGATGTATACTAATGATAATGCATTGCAATGCTTACAAACTCGTTAAGTGCCGACATCCCTTCCCCTCCCCCCTCCCCCCCTCCCCCCCCCCCCCAAAAAAAAAAATTGAATAAGTACTAATAAGAGACTTCCCTGAAGATGGAGTTTTCTGCAGAGTATTTTACAGAAACCTTGCTTTGTTACATCTTCGCGTTTTGTTACCATTTATTGTTTTGTTGCAAAATAAGCATACTATGCTTGCCGAAAATGATGAAAATGTAATAAGTGCCCAGCCTGGAATAAGCACCCACTCTTAAGGTCCAAAAACTTAGTAAATGCCCAGGGCAGTTTATCGAATAAATACATGCAGTAATCCAGTTATGAGAGATTGCAGTGTAGTCCGTTTAGAAGTCAAGGGGCAATTTTAGTTAACTTCCTGACAGGAAAAAGCCCTAAATTTGTGTGTGGTTTTGATTCAAAGCATGCCTTTTAATTTGTGATAAATTATTTTACTCATAGCCGGTGGTTTGTGATTATTTAGCAGATCGTGACATAGGATGACACAAAGGGGAGAAGTAATGTCATGTTGATGTTTCAAATACAGTTTTTGAAATGGCTTCATCTTCATCTGGGTAAGCATATATATAGTAAGTCTTCGTAAGCATGTACACACAAGATCGATTCAGCTTAAAGGGGCTGTGTCAGTCCAGTTCATTTTGTTGCCAATTACTCGCCCTCAATGGCTATGGACTTAAAGTAAGCAAAGTGAGAGATCCGGGACAAATAAATATGTCTCCTGAGCATTATTTTTGAAGTTGCAAGCAGCAGGGATCAGCTTTGAAAAACTGTTAGGCTGAACCAGTTTTCCAAAACCCTAATTTCAATCCATTTCAATCTTCTTCAGTTTTGCTCATCAATGCATGGCATCTGTTGTTTCTGTTATGTTATTTTAACCTTCCTCTAAAGTTTTAAGCGGCTATTTTTGTTTCTCTTAATTTAACGGGCATTTTGAAATTTCCTAATTTGGCTGAATTTCGTGACACAGTTCTTTTAAGTACAAACACACTTTGTCTTAACAATGACTAACTTACATAAATTACAGCTGGCAGCTTGATAAATCAAGAGTCTCTTTTATTCTGAGATGTTTGTGACTGATAAATGAACTCACCTAAACTGGAAAGGTTGAAGAGCATACATGTAGTCACAATGTTGCACTCGACCAATCTCTCTAATTCAATTTAAAATCTTTCTTCAATCTCATGCTGCCTTTTCAATATTGCTGTTTCTATTTCTTTGAAGGTGCATTTTATTGTATTATTGACAAAAGGTCAAGCGGACCATTTGGACTTTCTTTGCATGAACCTTTTACCTCTCAAAGACTCTGTGGCTGAACAATAAATAGATTCAATGGAACGCCGTGAGGACAGTCATTAACTTCCACTCGATTTTCTTAACCTGAATATTCAACCTCATCAATACAACTTTCTTGTTATATGTCTTTTGGCCATGACAGCAAAAGTAATGGGGTTTTTATAGTTTCCCAACATTTTAACCTCCTTTAAGCAACCTCTTAATGCTTTTTGTTGTCCCTTTGTTCACTGTATGTACTACACCACTCAGAGTATACAAGAACTTTTAGCGACAACTTGGAACAATGGAAGAGTGACAATTAATGTAATTTAGAAGTTGCTCACAATGAATTTTCTGCCAAAAAGGAGATAAGTCAGGACCTCTTCAGGAAGGTTCCATAAGCAACAAATTACAATTAAATCTTCACATTTTGGGTGATTTCCATGGCAGGTTGGACCGTTTGTTTAATTTACAGACCCAGAGCTGTAATGCAAAGTTTTATTTGTTCATGTGATGTGTCTTCATTAATCTTCAGGTCAAGTTGCCTTGGTTTGACAGATAATCAGAAACGATGGCTTGTTATTGGAATAGCACTCAACAAGATCCTTGTGCCACAGATCCGTCCTTTTGTGGAACAAGAGGTTGATAAGGAATACAACAATCTCAAGACAAGGCACAATATTCATACACAAAGTACATCTGGTCGTCTTCAAAGATGGCCCCCAAGAAAGATTTTAAAGTATGAGAATATCAATGGTAACAGTCATCACCCAAAGCTTCCTGGTGGAAAGTGCAACTTTTCCTTGTTTGATTGTAGAGTGTTATCTCACATTGACTTTGCCAAGTTGTACGTTGAACACTTCATGGCCAAGTTCAATGCTTTTGATGACCAATGTGATGCTTCAGCTGTACTCAAATTACTTGGTGGTGTACCTGTGTTCTCAGCTGCCATGCAAGCTGCAGCTGGTGATGTCAGGAATGTTAGGAATGACTGGGCGCACTGTGATTTCAGTATGTGGGATCCTGTCAAGTTTCAGCAGAGTTTTTTTGAGATGGAACACCTGGTGAGAGTCATGGCTCTACGTGCTGAAGATGAAGCTAAACTCCTTGCGGAACTAAAAGACTGGGAGACTAAAGGTAGCGTTCTTTGTACATGCAGTTAAAATATAAAAATCAAATAATATATTTTATTGGTACAATATTTAATAGTACAGTCGAACATCCCATAAGCGACCACCCAGAATGTAAAGACTGAGTGGTCGCTTACAGGAGGTGGTCATTTACAAGAATCCACCCATAGGGGATCTCTTCCGAGAAGAGGTCCCTGCACATCTACTTTGTGGAAGATAATAATTATTGCACGCAATGAATTATTTATTGCGTGCAATGTATTAGTTAGGATATCTGTAGTTCCACGTTGCCACTAAAGTTCTTCACGTATTCTAAGTAGCAGTGCACACAGCGAAAATAGCTGAGATTAAAAAATGTGTCAAGTAGTCGCTTACAAGAGGTTAAAAATAACGGAAAATCATTAACTGTCGCACCCCAAAAGTGGTCGCGGTCACCTACAGGTGGTCGTCGTTTACCAGAGGTTCCAACTGTAAGGCTTTGACTGGGAAATTTTGGTGTTTTGGATTGGTGGTCCCTTATGGGAGGTGGTCACTTACAAGAGGTGGTCGCACATGGAGGTTCGACTAGCTGAATTTTTTTACCTTTTGTAGCGGAAAGGTCCTGTTTAGCAGCGGTTACTTTATATCACTTACTTTGTGTATGTTTACTAAATAATATGCTTACAAAAACTATCCCTAAATCTCAATTAACCTCAATGCACACCTCCCACAGAAAAGAGAAAACTAATCCCAACAGCAGCTTGCTTCATGCCTCACCCCGCCACCTAGAATTATGCTTAAACAATAGAAGTGTTTCTCTTCAACATGTTTGCCCAGATAAGTTGAAGAAGAGGTGATCATGAGGTCTGGGTGTTCTTTAAGGAAGAGATCACCGCTCTTCTAAGAAACTATCCCTGGATATTTAGGATGGTCTTTCCAGGAAGCTGTTTCGTGACATATTAATGTGTCAGGTATTAGTGTGTAATCTGGACTCCTTTGTTGCAGGGACTCTGTTGTGCATGAACTCCCCCATGGACCCAGCATTGCTTCAACTTGTTCAGCAAAAAGTAAAATTTCTACAAGATAATGTGAACAACTTGTCTGTAGAATTTGACCAGGAAAAGGTGACAGTACAGCAACAGCTGCAAGAGATGAAACAGATGGTGGAAACACTAAAGACCTTTCAAGGTAATCCTACTTAACCTCTCCCCGCCCATTTTCATAATTCTTGTGTCATTATTGCAACATAATATATAATGGTTTCTAAGCCTTATATTTACTCTTCAGAGTATTTGGAAATTGTGTACTTTCTGCTTCTGTTTTGCAGATGATGCAGATCAGAGGTTTGGAAGTTTAGAGACTCGCACCGGTCAAGTTGAAGGCCAAGTACACAGTCTTGAAGGTAATTTCAAGATAAGTCACTGATTGCTCTGTGGGCTACGAATGTTAGTTTTTCAAATCTGTTTTTTCTTTAAAATACTGATGGTGAAAATTCATTTTATTTAACATTTTTATTAGTGTGTACTTTCATTCGTGACGTCGCACATTTTATTTTTTTCGTGTATTTTAGAGGATACAGCTCAGAGGTTTGGAAATCTGGAGACTCGCACCGGTCAAGTTGAAGACCAAGTACACAGTCTTGAAGGTAATTTCGACATAAGGCACTGATCGCCCTGTGGGCTATGAATATTTAAATTATTCAAATCTCTTTGTCATTAAAATGCTGATGGTGAAAATTCATTTTATTTAACATTTTTGTTGATGTGTATGTTCATTGGTGAGGTCGCACATTTTATTTTTTTTGTGTATTTTAGAGGATACCGCTCAGAGGTTTGGAAATCTGGAGACTCGTACTGGACAAGTTGAAGACCAAGTACACAGTCTTGAAGGTAGTTTCAACGTGTCAATGAAATCTTTTCTCGTCTCATTTACAAAAAGAAGTCAGCAGATCAGAGGTTTAAACAAGTTAAAGACCATGCGCACAGTCTTTAAGTTAATTTGGAGAAGAAGCAATAAGCCCTATTCCTTTTGAATCTAGTTTTTCCTTACCAAAATGACCCACCCCGCTGTTCATACATGCCCTGTGCGAAAGCAGTAAAGGTTCTTGTTAGTCATCTAACACGCAAGGTCACCGTCAGAAAAGACACTCACCCAGGAGGCCATCGTCCGAATTGCTGCAACTAATTGACTCTTACTTTTTAAATAGTAGGATATTATTTTGCACGCTGAGTAAGTTCTGAAAATTTAAAATGCACTTCCAAGTCGACGTTTCTCCTTTTTCCTTTTTGTTCCTTTTGCAGCAAAGTTTCAAGACCTGACGACAAAAGAATCTGCTGAGTCAAACGCTTCTCTTCAAGACCCCCTGATGACATCTGATGGTAGGTTTTCATTCGCGTTTACAGCAAACGGCAAATGTGAGTTTGTACCACGTGACCAAGTGTTCCATTTACTTATCGTTTACTGTTCATTATAAGCTTAATCATAACCATTACACTTTCCTCAAATTTGATTGGTGCATTAACTGCTTTATTATTCACTAATCATTGTGTAGGGTTGTAATCGGACAGTCGGTTGTAATCGGACACCTGCAATTGGACAGTTACATTAGCCAGTCATATTAAGTGCACTCAGCTAAATCCACCAAACACAGAAGTTATCATAATAACCATAGCAACAACCACTTACCTTACCATACTGGGGATTTTCCAAAATTGACAAATTTGTAACATTTAGGCAGTGTATCCGCCAGTGATATTTTCCCTAATTTTGGACATTTGGTATTCAAATGCTCTTTCACCAAAAAAGAATGCATTTATTTTTTCGGATTTACAACGATTATGATTAATTGGTAACAGGAATTCGAGTCGTCCAATTCGGTCTGTCATAATACTCGTGATAAAACAAATCGGACTCGTCCGATTTTGTTAATCGCTCGTATGATGACAGACCGAATGGGCGAGTTTCGTATTCTTGGGCGGCCTAGGACGAGTGCTTGTTTTTGCGCGAAAGCGAGGCTAATGCGGGTCACTTCTCACCAAGAAGACAAACAAACATGAGAAAACTGCACTTGAGTTGTCGAAAAAAAGGAAAATTTGAAACGTTGAAAGGTTCCGGAGGTCTCAAAACTTACGTACAGGCTTGAGAAATCATTGTTTCAAACAGCAAAAGGAAAATCAGGTCGCCATCACTGAGAAAAACAACGAGCCTAACTAGAAGAATTGACCGAAGTAATGGTCGGTGAGTGAGTTCAATACAAATGCGAAGATGGTTTCAAAATCCTTAAACGACCTTAAACAAGGTGATAGCCTCAAGCCATTTTAATGTTATTTCAGCGATGGTTAAAACTTCTTTAAGCCCTACCTTCCATTGGAGTGGACGTACTTGTCGAAAGCCTGCAATTTAAACTGAAACCTTATTTTTAGTTGACATTTTTTCTAACGGAGCGAATGCAAAATCTTGTTCCTTTGAAAAAAAAGAAAAAACCGACGGGGCAGACGTTCTGCATACATTCCTTGCACTGTAAAAAAGTTAAATCGGTTTTAACGAAGATGACTAAAATAGTATAAGTTTATCTATACATAAGCTACATTTAGCGTACACACAAGCATATAATACATGCTTCTTGCTTACATTATTTATCAAAATATTCAGTCCGATATTAAAGAAAAACGTACGCTCATTTCAGTCGACAAAAACTGGAACACAGAATTTTATACAGGAGATATACTGAGCAATTTAAACTCCATTATGCAGATATACACAAGAATAAAATAGAATACTAAGAAGTAAAATAATTAAAAGGATAAAATACTGTCATTTTAACAGACTTTACCCTTTTCAAGCTTTAAAAAGTTTACGTCTTCTTTTGGCTTCGTCGCTTTTTCTTTCATCTGTTAAGTACGATCAGCTTTTCCCACAATTTTGGTGTCTGCAACAGATATCCCTTTGGCTTACTGGTAAAGATTAAGCTTTAAGATCCTCTGATTGTTTTTGCTTTTGCAAAGAAGTTGACCCGCATAAGCCTCGCAATCGTGCTCGTCGTAGGGCCGTCTGGGAATACGAAACTTGCCTATTGGACTCCACTCAGTCCTATTACCATTATTAACTACGTGGAAATCGGTAGATTTACGCCAATTCCATCCATAAGAATTGTTTTAAGCTGTTGTTATCTTCTTATTTTTCATTTGGAAAATTTTTGGTCAGTTGTTAAAATATGCACATTTTTCTCCAGTGTTCAAATGTATTTTTTTAAGCGCGGATAAAATTATATGCCTCATTTCTATTTTCTCTTATTAGTCAATCCCGGGAAACTTGTAGAACTGATTAGACGAGACTACAAAGGCGCGGTGCTGTGTCCCTTTCCATGGTGTGAAGATGAACTACAGCTGAAGCTATCGAACATCTTTACTAGATTGCAGGTAGTTAGTAGAACAAAAGAACGTTCAAAACTAACAAACAACACCTTCGATATGACAGACGTGTTCAAGCCGCATCCAGACTGTGACAATCCAAGAGTTGTGCTGATCGAGGGGAATCCTGGGATGGGCAAAACTACCTATTGTCAAAAGCTGGCATATGATTGGTCCGTGGCGGAGATTCCATCTGATGCATCATTTCCTAAAGTGAATATATTGCTGCTGTTGAAATGTCGTGACATGCACATGAAAACTGCCAACATCGAGGAAGCTGTTGATGATCAGCTTCTACCACAAGATGCTGGCAAGAAGGAAAAAGAAGATTTCTTCCAATTTATTCGCTGCAATCAGTCAAGAATTTTGTTGGTTCTTGATGGTTTGGACGAATTACGTGACGATCTGGTGCAGGGTTTTCTACCTTTGATTCAAGGCAAACTCTTTGCTAGTATGTATCTCATCTTAACATCTCGACATGAAGCAGGAATGAAGGTGAGGCGTTATTGTGACACGCTTCTTGAAATTATTGGCTACAGCAAAGGTGACGTTGAAAGTTACATTAAGAAGTATTTCAGCAGCCCCGAGGATCAACCTCTTGCTGACAAAATGATACAAAAGTTAAATGGTGACAGACGTCTCAAGCAATTAACGACTAATCCATTAAATACAGCTTTGTTGTGTCTTCTTTGTGAAGAAACAAGAGGAGAATTTCCTTCGAAAAAAACAAAGTTGTACAATGACCTTGTGGCTTGCGCTCTCAGAAGGTTTTTCGCAAAAAGAGGTATTCCTTTGGGTGACGACGATCCGGTGGAGCGATGTTCAAGTGAGCTGAATCAGCTAGGGAGGATTGCATTTGAGACTTTGCTTAAGCATGGGTTGTATTTCAGTCAAGATGAGGTTAAATCACAGTCCACAGTGGATTTCCTACAGTTGCCGTTTCTTTCCCGTGAGCCCAGTAAGAGCAAAATCAGACCAACGCCGTCCTACGCGTTTACTCACAGAACGTTTCAAGAATACTTTGCAGCGTTTTACTTGGCCCATCAGCTGTTATCTGGTGACAAAGGGAAAGAGAAACTGTTGAATGAATTGGATGAACTCAGTCCCATTCTATACTGGCAGGTGTGGGAATTTCTCATCACGCAGGCGTTAAGCAAGAGTACTGAAGCAGCAGTAATTGTTGTGTCTTGCCTTTGTGATTTCTTCCACCGTAATTGGGAGATACCCCCAAGTTCGATTGATGCCGATTTACATTTGTGCGTCGACATTTTTGATAAGGAAAAGTGCGACAGCGTTGTCATACCTTTAACAACTTCGAGGGAGGATGATCATGAAGAAGCACTGCTCGTCCTCTTGATGGATGTACTTCGTCTTATTGCTGAGTGTGAGGATGGTGATAGTGAACTGAAGGATTACCAAAAGGAAGTTGTGCGTGTGCTGGCACGTCGCTTTCCACTGGAAAAATTGGGACTTGTACCAGGTGCTATTAGCAACTTAGTGCTCTCTGAGTATTTGAAATTCAACTGCTCGCTGACAACATTATGTTTGGTTAGTGAAATAGACACCCCATTGCTGTCAACAACAATTAAACTTGTCTTACATTCTACGAAAAAGGGGGTTAAATTTCTATTGGGAAACTGGAGAGATCGACATCTTCTGAATCAATCGCTTGCTGTTAAGGCGCTTCTCGCAGATGTTTTCCAGTCAGGTTGTTTTCAAGCAAAAAAACTAGGTGTACACGGTTTCCGGATGTCGGATGAAGGATGCCAACTAATTGGAGAATTTCTTCAAACAAACTGCACTTTAAGCCATCTTCGTCTAACAGATGCAGAGATCTACGATGGAGGAGCCACAGCAATCGGGGACGCTCTTCAGTCGAATTTCACTTTGACACATTTGAGTCTTCCGCGAAATATGATCAGTGGTGTTGGAGCCGCGGCCATTGCGACGGGTCTTCAGTCCAATCCTGTGTTAACATATTTAGATCTGAGTCAGAATGCTGGCGGCGGTGCGTCAATCACCATGGCGCTGGCTCAAGCTCTGAAATCTAATTGCGCCCTGAAGTACTTGGATGTATGTGATACATTCAACGCCCTTGAAAATGACAAGATTGGCCCCAGAGGGCGATCAGCCCTCGCAAGGGCTCTTCGATTTAATCGAACATTGACTCATTTGAATCTTAAACACAGTGGCATCGATGACTCAGTGGCATCCGCACTTGGTGAGGCTCTTCAAACAAACAGCGCTTTGATGGATTTGAACCTCGCAGACAATCAGATCAGTGAAACTGGAACAGCAGCTCTTGGAAAGGCACTGGAATCAAATTATACTTTAACCCATTTGAATCTAGAGAAAAACAACGGCATCGGTGATGCAGGAGCTAAAGCTCTTGGAAAGGCGCTGCAATCAAATCATACTTTGATCCATTTAAATCTAGAGAGTTGCAAAGGGATCGGTGACACAGGAGCAGTAGCTATTGCAAAGGCGCTTCAATCAAATGATGCTTTGACCCATTTAAATCTAGGGAATAACAACGGCATCGGTGATACAGGAGCTGAAGCTCTTGGAAAGGCGCTGCAATCAAATCATACTTTGACCCATTTAAATCTAATGAGTAGCAAAAGGATCGGTGATACCGGAGCAGTAGCTATTGCAAAGGCGCTACAGGCCAGCGGTACTCGATTGACCATGTTAGATCTGAGAATGAACAGTATAACATGTTCAGGAGCAACTGCTATCGCAGAAGCTCTCCACACTAATACTTCTCTCACACATTTATATTTGCGGGAGAATAGGATTTGCTGTGATGGTGCATCCGCTTTTGCAAAGGCACTGAAAACGAATTGTACTTTGACTCACTTGCATCTGAGTGCGAATGGTATTGGTGATTTAGGAGCCACAGAATTAGCGCTCGCTCTTAAGGATAACAACACTTTGCGTTCTTTAAGCCTAGGAGAGAACTGTCTAATAAGTGCACTAGGACGAGGAAGCCTTCGTGAGGTTGATTGGTCTGGCGATATCGTTTGGTTCCGTCCTTGTTTTGTAGAAAACCTATGTAATTGTATTGAACATCGGCTTTCCATCCAGGAGTAGCAGTAACTGTTCTTTTAAGAATCTACTGGCTCACATTTACCTTGCATGGATTTTCCATAAATAAAGGTGACGTTGAACAATATTCGGAACTTTAGACACACTCCGAGCGTTAAATTTGAAACGATAATCAGCGAACCGAGGCCAAAACAAAGAAAAAAAGTGCCAAATCTGTTCAAAGTGGCTCACGTTTTTCACCTGTTCGCTCTAACTGTATAAAAATTATTCATGAAAGCATATCGATTTCGTAGAAGAGACGTCAATAGGGAACTTAAGAACCACGACGAAGTTCACGACGACGACGTCTGTTGACCGGGAAAGGACTGGAAGGTGAACGTCAGTTTCGGCGGGAAAAAGGAAACTTAAGATGCAGTCGATCGGTAGGTCGACGACGACGACATTGAATGTAAAGAAACAAGTAGAAGTAGTAGAACTGTGATGTTCGTTCGCAACAAAAATTTTTCGTAGAGGCGTCTTTTAAAACGATGCAAGATCTTATTTTAAAAGCCGTACGTCTACTTTCATTGACGATGAAGAATTTTTAGTAATGTCTGACCTTTTCGAATGGAAAAATCTCTGCTTTCCGTACGAAGATTATTCAACTTTCAACCTGAATGAGATGACCGAGTCCGAGTGTCTGTCAGAGGGTAGTTTTGGGAAAAGAGACATTCCGATGCGATAGCTGTTTTCCATATAAAGTTCATTTTCTCTATATTAAAGATATATGATTTGCCTTTCCTAAATACGTACAACTAGATTTATCACTTACGAGTTCGCTCGCTCGGCCTCCACAGCTCAGTGTTGTCTTCGAAGTAAACACAATTCATCAGTCGAATTTTCAATCGACATCGCTTGTTAGGAGAAAAAGAAAGGATACCTGGATTTACGAGGATTAAAAAGACAAAGCCCTTGAAAAATCGCCTAAAAACAAGAAGTTATACCTGCCAAAGCTTGTGGATTGCACGACGACGTGATTCTACTGTGTTTGGCGTCGTCGATGACACCACGACGACGAAATTTGCTAATTGCGCTTGCGCAGTGCACGGTATCTCACTTCCGGTCGTCGTCGGGGTTCTTAAGTTCCCTAATAAAAAATGCAAAACCACCGCTGACTTTGTAGTTGTTGTAGAAGTTCTGGCTTTTTCACTTTGAAAATCGGCTACTTTTGTCACTATTTTGTATGGGAGGTCAGGTTTGAGGTTAAGTATTTGTTCGGCAAGTCACTTTATTCATGTTTCAGCATGTGGTTATGTTAGTTTGACAATTAAGGAAGACTCTTTGAAGTTTGGCACGATTTCGTTGTTTGGAGTTTCTGGCTTTTCGTCAATTTCTAAAAGTACTCCTGTTCGTTTACGTGCGTAAATCTCGAGGACACGCCCAACGTGGTTTGAAACTCCCGCCTGTGCATATTAATGTTTTGATCAATTGAAACGGATCGAAATTTGAATAATTATCTCACACAATGTTCCCTCAAGCGTTTAAAAAGACGCGGCGCTTGCTTTTTACATGTTCACCGACTCGGGATTTCAAAGGGAAATGTCATTTACCAAGAGAGAATACGCTTCCAGCGTCTTACAGATAGAAAAACTATGAGTTAACTATACCTATGAGTAGAAAATGAAGTAGTTTTATTTTTGTAGTACACAAACCAATCGACTAAAAGAGCGCGTCTTTAATGTAAGCTGCTTTGACCGGTTGAAGGTGGCTCGACTGGATTTTTAAGGGGGATACCTCCCAAGTTTGTGCATTAACTACGTCGGCATGAGTGAAGATGTGGGGAAAAAGTTACCACAACTGTATTATATAAAGATGAAAATTTCTTATGATCTGGGATTTTTTTAGCAATCGGAGTCACCATGGCAACGTAATGACGCCATTACGATCTTTATTTATCTTTGAGTTTCTCTGTACCAGGAGTTTTTGTAAGAAATCGCTTAAAGGAGTATGTACCTGCCATAATTGCCTCAATTGTGGCAAAGTTTGAACAAACTCTATGAGGGCGTTTTGGAAATATTTTGAAACAAAGTTTTGTGAATTATAAAAACAGTGAAATAGCATGCTATCTATACAATTAGCTAATACTTTAAGAAAATGATAAGATTTGGAAAAACGGCTTCATCTCATTGTGGTTTGATTCCATTGAAAACTTACAAAAATAGACGGGAATTACTCTGGGCGATCGCGAGTAAGAAGAATTTTATTAACCTGCATGTAGCTGCTTTTGTTACAGTTTTTGCCCCTAATTTGGTCCATGCTACCCTGGGTGCCAGAGGTTTTTTTTCGTGTTGTTGGCAGCGAAAATTGAGCGGCGAAGCCGCGATCGAGTGACGATTAGCTGAAGATCATCACCCGATCGCGGCTTCGCGGCTCAATTTTCGCTGC